CTACAGGTGTCTGCTGCCCCCCCAGGACCCCGAGGCCGCCAGGCCCCAACCTCACCCCCACGCCTGACGGTGCATGAGGGGCAGGAGCTGGCACTGGGCTGCCTAGCGAGGACAAGCACACAGAAGCACACACACCTGGCAGTGTCCTTTGGGCGATCTGTGCCTGAGGTGCCAGTTGGGCGAGCAACTCTTCAGGAAGTGGTGGGAATCCGGTCAGACTTGGCCGTGGAGGCCGGAGCTCCCTATGCTGAGCGACTGGCTGCAGGGGAGCTTCGTCTGGGTAAGGAAGGGAGTGATCGGTACCGAATGGTAGTAGGAGGTGCCCAGGCAGGGGACGCAGGCACCTACCACTGCACTGCCGCTGAGTGGATTCAGGATCCTGATGGCAGCTGGGCCCAGATTGCAGAGAAAAGGACTGTCCTGGCCCACGTGGACGTGCAGACGCTGTGTAAGTGCCACATCCCACTGTGGGAGCTGGGAGGGACAGTATTCTGGTGGGCACTGTGGCCACAGGGGGTACCGGATAGCCATCATCTGACCCCAGGGAACTCATCTTCTAGAGTGATCAGCCCTGTTAGCATTGCTTCCCGCTCTGCCCTGGATGAGTTTTCTCTGCTCAGTGATGGGTTATAGAGTTAGGAGGGCCATGGCTGAGGGGTGAGATTCAAGCCCCCGAGTAGAAAGATGGTCATACCCAATGAGGGGCAGACAGGAGGCTTTGAAGCTGCTGCTGTCAAGGAGAAAACACAAAGTTGGGGAATCAGGTCCCTCTTGTCCCCTCCTGCCTCTGTGACACCTCTTCCCCTTCCTGTGTTTCAGCCAGCCAGCTGGCAGTGACAGTGGGACCTGGCGAACGTCGGATCGGCCCAGGGGAGCCCTTGGAACTGCTGTGCAATGTGTCAGGGGCACTCCCCCCCGCAGGCCGTCATGCTGCATACTCTGTGGGTTGGGAGATGGCACCTGCGGGGGCACCAGGGCCTGGCCGCCTGGTAGCCCAGCTAGACACAGAGGGTGTGGGCAGCCTGGGCCCTGGCTATGAGGGCCGACACATCGCCATGGAGAAGGTGGCATCCAGAACATACCGGCTGCGGCTAGAGGCTGCCAGGCCTGGTGATGCGGGCACCTACCGCTGCCTCGCCAAAGCCTACGTTCGCGGGTCTGGGACCCGGCTTCGTGAAGCAGCCAGTGCCCGTTCCCGGCCTCTCCCTGTGCACGTGCGGGAGGAAGGTGAGACGGGGCTGGGCCCTGGACAGGGTTCAAGGATTGTAGACCCATTTTCCTTCTGTTTCCACATCCCCTCCCTTCTATCAGCTGCTTGCATGCCGCACCTCATGCTCCTCTTCTACCAATATTGTAGGAATACCCTGAGTTTCCTGGGGCGGTGCTTGGCAGCAGCCCTCACCCCATGCTCCCCGGCCTTGCCCCATCTGGCCCCATGTCCTGTGTTCTGCAGGTGTGGTGCTGGAGGCTGTGGCGTGGCTAGCAGGAGGCACAGTGTACCGGGGGGAGACTGCCTCCCTGCTGTGCAACATCTCTGTGCGGGGTGGACCCCCAGGACTGCGGCTGGCTGCCAGCTGGTGGGTGGAGCGATCAGAGGATGGAGAGCTCAGCTCTGTCCCTGCCCAGCTGGTGGGTGGTGTGGGCCAGGATGGTGTGGCAGAGCTGGGAGTCCGGCCCGGAGGAGGCCCTGTCAGCGTGGAGCTGGTGGGGCCCCGAAGCCATCGGCTGAGACTACACAGCTTGGGGCCTGAGGATGAAGGTGTGTACCACTGCGCCCCCAGCGCCTGGGTGCAGCATGCCGACTACAGCTGGTACCAAGCGGGCAGTGCCCGCTCAGGGCCTGTCACAGTCTACCCCTACATGCATGGTGAGTGGCATCCCTCTACCCTCCTTACTCTGCCTCCCTCCTGGCCCCTGCCCCTAGTCTTCCCTGCCCATCTTCTGACCCTCCTGCCACTGTCTTTTTCCTCCACATCATGTCACATGAAGTCTCAACGTATCCATCTTCCAGCCCTGCAGTGCCTACCTGTGTAGGGTCCTCTGTGGTTGCTGCTGACTTTCATGCTGAGGGACAGGCTGTGGGCAGGGATAGGGGTGTCTGTGAATGGAGGAGGTGGGGCCAGAGAACTTGATGGGGAAAGTTCTGGAGGCATGTGGGATGGGTGGAGGATGATGGCATCCTTTTGAACAGTCTTCCTCTCTCCCCCAGCCCTGGACACCCTATTTGTGCCTCTGCTGGTGGGTACAGCGGTGGCCCTGGTCACTGGTGCCACTGTCCTCGGTACCATCACTTGCTGCTTCATGAAGAGGCTTCGAAAACGGTGATCTCTCACTCCCCAGGTGAGGGAAAAGAACCCCCCGACCTTGTCTCCATTGGGCTTCCACCCCCAAGTCCTGAACGAGGCTGCTCCCTCCCAGGTCTCACCTGGAGGAGGAGTAGGCAGCTCAGATCCATAGGGCTCTGTTAAGGGGCGGGAGCCAGGAGGGAGCCCCCCTTCACTCAGGGCTCTGTGTCCTTAGCCCACGCCGGGCGCCCTTTTCAGGTCTTGCAGGTGTCGACTGTCTTCCAGCCCAGCTCCAAGCCCTCCTCTGGTTGCCTGGACACCCTCTCCCTGTTTCCATTCTTCCTTTAATTTATTTGACCTCCCCCCACCCAGAATGGGAGACACGGCTCCCCTTCCTCACTCCTTCCCTCCCAAGCCCTCCCTCTGGCCTTCTGTTCTTGATCTCATAGGCATCCTATAGGGAGACCATTCCCTGTCCTGGAATTAGTTTTTCTAAAATGTGAATAAACTTGTTTTATAAAAAGTAGGCTTGACTGTGTCTTCCCTACCATGAGACTGTAAAAGGCACGGGGTGTGTAGCAGGGAGGTGGCTGGGTGTTGACAACCTATTCTGAACGACCCAGGCCTCTCTTCCCACCACAAACGCCATCTGGCCTCCGTGGGCCATGCCACCCACCCCAGGAGGGGACACCTGAGTTCCATCTGCTGCCTGAACTGTCAGTGCTGAGGCAGTGCCTGATTGGACTCCTGCTTGGGGAGGGAAGCATAGAGGGCAGGTTCCAGCTGCCTGTGGTCCCCCCTTCCCAGCTTCTCCCATGTTATAGGGTATGGGCTTCCAGGAGCAGGGACTTTTCTGAGCTCCCCAGACTTCACCCTACTCTTCCCCTTTCATTCTCCTGGTCAGGCTAGTCTTGGACCTGACTTCTCCCAATAGGTCTCATTCTCCTTGGAGCTGACTCCTCCCACTAGGCCCTGGGGCTGCAATTCTTGTTCCTTCTGATTGACAGCAGCAGAACAGAAGCCTCAGCACACAGCTGATACTCAGGCTGGGACAACAGGCAGTCATGGGAGGGCCTGTGTGTCCCCAGGGCCATTGCACCCGTATCTACTCACTGTGCCTGTATACACCCACTGCCCGCATACACCCACTGCCCGCATACACCCACTGCCCGCATACACCCACTGCCCGCATACACCCACTGCCCGCATACACCCACTGCCTGCATACACCCGCTACACCCGCATATACTTGCCTCACCTGCCTGTACACACCCTGGGGTTTCCTCCCTCCCCGCCTTCAGCTTCACCTCTCCTCCAGTGCCCCAGAAGTTTCATGAATTTTCTTGCCTAAGGATTCTCTGATCCTAAAATTCTTACCTGCACAGCACCTTAAGAGGCATCCAGTAGGCCTCCTTCAGTTGTTATTTAAATATTTATTGAGCATTACGAGTTTGCTAAGTGTCATTTTTACAGATGAGGAAACTGAGGCCCAGAGATGTGATTTGCCCAGAGTCATAGAGCTAATTAGCGACAGTGTCAGGACTGGGACCTAGGTCTCCTGACTTGTCACACTATACAGTGGTGCCCTGAGTGGTGACAGTGGCAAGGAGAGGTGTGGCAGGGTCTCTGTGACTTCAGGGGGCAGGAGGGGCCTTTCCAGCCTCAGTTTCTTTGCTTGTCCAAGTGCAATGGGTTGGCTCCTGTGGATACAAAGTAGCCCACCCTGTCTTGTCCAGACTCCCCTGTTTCACTGAAACCCAAATGAATCCCATTCCCCACCCCAACATCTGTTCTTAGGGGACCAGCTGATGCAGGGTTCAGGAATCTCATCTTTGATGACGGGACCCCGGTGGCCCTGTGACCTGAGGCAAATATGTCCATGCTTTGACTTGAAAGGAAGAGACTGGGACTTGGGTCCTTTCTGAGTTCACCCAAGCTGCCTAGGCTCCTTCCTTGGCCCCCTTTCTTGCTTCCAGAGGACCCACAGGACCCTGGCTGTGCCCCATAGGACCCCAGCTGTGCCTCATAGGACCCTGGCTGCCCAACCTGGAACAGTGGACTGGAGTGTTTTCCCGAGGGGGCTTAGACTTATGAAAGGGCAGGAGTGGAGTGTGGTCAGGGCTCAGGGAGGAGGTCCTTTCTGGGCCAGTGCTGCTGTGTGGGAGGCGGGGCTGTCCCAGGGTGGGCTCTCCTCGGCCTATGCTTTTCTTCAGGGCACCAGCTTCAGGTCTCCTCTGCCCCTCTCATCTTGCCATTGTTCTCCCTCACCATCCAGGAAGCTGTGCTGGTGACTGGGATGAGACCAGGAAGCAGGTGCAGGTGGGGTGAGAATATGCATCTTTGGGACCCCGTGGCTCAGCTGGGCTGACAGCAGGCTGCAGACGCCTCCACATGCTCCGACTCCTATCGCTTCTCTCAGATTTTCTCCCACATTCAATCCTGCCTTTAGTCCTACAAGGGATTCTGTCCTGTGCCCCGAAAACCCTTCCTGCTCCACCTTCCCACCAACCTCCCCAGGAATCCCCTCAAGTCCTTCTGATGGCTTCATCTCTCTGTCTGGCCTGCTCAGCTTCCAGACACCTCCTCTACTTGTCACTGCCCTGTTTCCACTGATGGCTGAGTTCCTGGGCCAAAGTTAAACTCTTCAGCCTGGACTTAGGGTCCCTTTCCCACATATAAAACCCCACCCTTCACATGTCTGTCTGCTCCTGTGAGGATCCTCAGCTTCTTCTCGGCTTCTCTTCAGCTTCTTCTCATCTACTCCTCAGCTTCTATGCCCCATCTCCTGCTATGACCTCCAAGTCTTTGCTTAGAGCCCAGGTTCTCCAAGTGTGGTCCCCAGTCCAGCAGCAGCAGCAGCAGCATGACCTGGGGACTTCTTAGAAATGAAAATTTTTGGTCCCCACCTATTGAGTCAGAAACCCTGGGAGTAGAGTCCATAAACCGGTGTCTTAACAAGCCCTCCAGGTGACTCTGATGCACCCTGAAGATTTCTATCTGCCGACTTACATATTCCCTATGCCTTACGCTGGCCCCAGCCTTCTGATCACCCACACTCACCCACACTCTCCCACCTTCTCCGTGACTGCACAGGTGGTCAGTTTGAATTATTCCTTGTTCAGTTGCCACTGGTAAATTCCTCTGTTTTCCCAGTTGCCCCTTATTTTGAGGACAGGAACCAGGTTTTTGAATGTCCACCCCACATGACACCCAATCAGTGATGTGAATGACTGTGCCCCAGAACCAAACTCCTTTCCCAGGGGCTCCCTGCGTCCCAGCTCTAGTGAACCCACTTTCTAGATCTCTCTCCTGGCTCTTCCTCCTCAGAACCTCTCTCTCTCTTCCTGCCTACGCGGGATACCTGTAAGATCTCACTCCACTGTCAGAATATAGCCACCCCTGGTTTTTCTTTCCCAGGCCTTTCTCCAGGGCCCCAGCTCAGGCATCTAACCCCTCTGCCTGCTTCTCTGAACTTGAGGACTAAGGTCACTCACGCCTTGCTGAGCCCCCTTGCAACCCTTCATCCTGGTGAGGGTGGAGCTGGGAGGGCACCCTCCTCATGTGGCCATCTTGGTCCAGCTCCTTTCTCCTTCGCTTTAGCTTGGCCTACAATGTCGTTAGACAGTTGTGCCATGTGTGGGGAGGCTGGCAGAAGAGGTGAGCAGGGACTGCAATCCATCCTACTCTCTGCTCCCCAGGCCATGCACCCTGGTTTGGGGCTGTATCTGTCTGGAGGAAAAGGATGCCTTTTTAGAATTTGCACAGAGGTGTTCTACGAGTTAGTGGCAGCCCTGAGTGGACCAACTGTCTATTGGTCCATGTATGTATCTATCAGCTGTCTTTATCCGCCACCATCTTCCCATCCAACCCCCAAAAGTCCATCCTTCTGTCCATCCATCCACTCATGAACAAATGTGTAGGTCAAACACAGACTGGTAAGTTCACCTGGCCCCACCCTCCATTTCCCCGAAATCAGGACCCCTCCCTTCCATACTAGATCCTAGACTTGAGGTTCTGGGGGGCAGGGACTTTCCAACTTTAGCACATTTCCAGGGGCTTTGCCTACCTCCTCCTTCTCCTCCACCTTCGAGATGCAGTTCCCCATGTACCTGTTTCTGGCCCCTGGGCTGCCACAGTGGTTCAGAGGAAGCTGGTCACACCTTGGACTCAGTCTCTGGGGGTGGCAGGCAGCCATTCTGCTCCTTGTCAGCCCCAGCCTCCCCCCCTGCCCCCTCCCCTGCCCCTTCCTCCTCCACCTTCTCATCCAGGCGGCTGGGGATGGACCAGTAGAGATGGGCATCAAGGCGGGCCGCAGCCTCTGCCAGCTCTCGAGCACTGCACGAAGGTGTGGGCACCTCAAAGGTCTCGTGAAAGCTGGCATAGTCCACCTCATAGAAGCCGTCCTCCAGGGTCAGCACTGACGTGAAGCGGTGGCCCCACAGCACCTCGTCTACCAGGTAGGAGCTCCGAGCTTGGCATGTCATTCCTGAGGGGAGGGGCACGGGTCAGGGGGGGATCCCGGCTCCACACTTCACTTTCCTGCCTCTCATTCCACAACCCTGCTCCCAGCACCCTCCCTTCTATTCCTCCCTTAAGGGCTCCCACTTCCTTTTGGTCCGGTCCATTTTCTCCCCCTTCCTAGCTCCTGTTCTTACCCAGCTCCCTCGCCTCTTCTCCATTTGCCCCAACTCCTCTTAATCTCCAGCTCTTTTATCCCCTCCTGTCATTTGGTGATGCCAATCAAAAAAGCTTAATCTTAGGGATCATCTAGTTCAACTTCTTACTCCATACAGGAGCATTTGCAACAGTGGGCACCTAGCTTGTACTTGACTGCCTCCCAGGACTGACAGCTCAGAAAGGGTGCACCCCTTTGTGTGATAGCTCTTATAGCTGGGTTGTTCTTTATACAGAGCTAAAACCTGTCCCCTGGGATTTCCACCCCCTGGCTTCATTCCCCTCCCACTTTACAGTCCTTTGAATATCTGAAAACAGGAGTCTCAGGTTCCCTCAAGTTTTCTTTTCTTGACTTAACATCCCTGGCTTCCTCTATGATTTCTCATTTGAACTGGTTTTCCAAAATTCTACCTTTTTGATTACAAGCCAGAAAGGCCAAGGAGGGCCCTGAAGCATTTTGAGTGCAGTAAATTTTCCAACTGTGGCCTGCTCCATGCATAAGAGAGAGCGCACCATCTCTCTGTTCTGGCCTTGATGTGTTCACAAACAGGGCCCAGGATAACATTACATAATCACTTTGGAGGCTGCATCACATTGCGACGACATCAAGCCTGTAGCCAACTAAAACACCCAGTTCTTTTTTCACCAGTGCTCTTCCATGCTGTGCTTACATAAGTGATTTTTTTTTAAGCCTAAATGTAGAATTTTATATTTATTCCTTTTAAATGTCATCTTGTTGGGTTTTGGCTCATTATTCTTGCTTTTCAAAAGCGTTTTGAATCCTGACTGTCTCACCCAAAATATTACCATCCTTTCCAGCTTTATCTCTCCAGAAAAACAGACAGATTCCCATTCCTATCTCCTCTGTCCTGGGCCTCCCTGCCCCGGGCCTGTGTCCTGTCTTCTTGTTGGGTTGGTGCATCCCTCAGGGAGGGTCATTGTCCTCCTGCCACAGGGTCTTTCCCCCAACCCTCATCCATCTCGGAACAAGGGGAAACAGAAGGGTGGACATCAGCTAACCAGAGGGTGGCTGTCAGCTCTCAAAGCCTGGCCCTGAGACATTGGTATTCTTCGGTCAGGCTGGAACAGGAAGTATGCAGTGGGAGAGAGGAAAAAGAGGCATAGGGACACTGGGGAGAGAAGGGCTTCGAGGAGGAGAGGGCAGGGCTGGGGGTATAAAGAGAAAAGACAGCCGGACAGGAGCTTCCCTGGAGGGTGAGGGGCCTGCCTGAGATACCGGCTAAAAAGGAGTGACAGCTGGAGAGAGAGAGAGGAAAGGGAACGGGGTGAGTGGGGGAAGGGGAAAGAGTCGGAGTGAAGCAGGAATGCGGAACAGTGAGGGGGAGCTGGGGTTGGGATGTGAAGCGGAGGGCCAGTGCAAAGGGGCCAGGGAAAGGATCTGAAGGCACCAGCTTGTCCGCGAAGCCGGTAGGGAGCATCAGCAGCTCTGGCGTCAGTGGCAGGGACTGCGGCGCCCCCTAGTGGGCCTTTGGTTCTCCACCCGCAGTTTCCTCGCCCTCATCCATCCTCTAGTTCTCAAGTCCTAAGTAACCTCATTTGCAACTCCTATAACACTGGTCTTTTTCCACTTGCTCCCAAAGCCTCCACTGTGTAGATCTGGGTTGGACTTACATCACAGACGAGTTGCCAGTTCCTTTTGGAAAAGGGCTAGAAATGGTAACATCATCTATGTCCCTTGTCAGTGGAAATGGATGAACTGGGAAACTGAGGCAGAAGTGAGACCAGATATTAAGCTCCCCTCAAGCGCCAGCCTAGAAATAACTCAGGCAGTGGAAAATCTTCACCGTGAAATTCCAGGGGCCTGAAACTGGCTGCAGTGAGAAAACTCCTGAACCTAACCCCTCCTTCCAACTCGGGACGTCTAAACATTGAAGCCACATTGCCTGTGTCCAATCCAGGCATGGCCACTTGCTGGCTTAGAAAAGTGGACAATTTCCTTAACTTCTCATTGGAGCAAAATCTCGTCTCTGAAAAGTGAGCGCAGTAAGGAGAAGTTACCTTCAGAGGGTTCTTGTGAGGATTACATGAACTCAGAGGTGGAAAGTGCTTTGGAACTGCGCATGACACAGGGTGAGTACTGGGCGAGCGCTAGCTATTATTACTCTCTCTATTCCAAGTGACACATTCCTCTGGGCCCAGGGCCCCACGCCAGTGCCATTTCGGAGAATTCCTCCAAGCTTTCTCTTGGCCTTCTGCAGAGTTGCTCAGTTCCACCCCCACCCCCGACGCCAGTCTCACCTCACTCTCTCATCCTCCACTAGCCCTTCCATCCATCCTCCCCACCTCCCCTGGCTCCTCTTCTCGCCCCTGCCTTCCTCCGTCCTGCCCACCCCCAGCCAGCCCCGCTCCCTTCTCCGGACCCGCTCGCACCCGTGGCTTCCACCATGCCCTCGAGGATGACGACGATCTCGAAGTCGTCCCTCTCGAGGGCGCGGCGCGACGCCTCCCAGAAGGGGCTGGCGGCGTCGATCTCGTGGCTGATGACGAGCGGCGAGACGAGGAAGAGGCGGTCGTCACCCGTGTCGAAGCCCACACTGAGGTCGGTCTGGTGCAGCGGGATGAACTCGCCCTCCAGCGTCTGGCGCGAGCGGATGAGCTTGGCGCGGATGGAGGCCTCCACGATGTGCGAGGAGCGCAGGTCGCCCACGCGGAACATGAGGCAGAGGCGCCCATCGCGCAGGGACACCACGGCGTGCGAGGAGAAGACCAGCGTGGCGGCGCGCTTGTTGGGCTGCGAGATCTTGACGAACATGCAGCCCACCATGAAGGCGTTCACCATGGAGCCCAGGATGGCCTGCAGCAGCAGCAGCACGATGCCCTCGGGGCACTGGTCGGTGATGACGCGGTGCCCGTAGCCGATGGTGGTCTCCGTCTCGATGGAGAAGAGGAAGGCGGCCACGAAGCCGTTGAGGTTGTTGACGCACGGCGTCCACGCGGTGTCCTCCAGGTGCTCCAGGTCGCCGCGGCCGTAGGCGATCAGCCACCAGATGGCGCCGAAGAAGAGCCAGGTGAGCGCGTAGGCCAGCACGAAGAACAGCAGGCTGAGGCGCCACTGCAGGTCCACCAGCGTGGTGAACAGGTCGGTCAGGTAGCGGTAGGTCTCGCGCACGTTGCCCTGCTGCACGTTGCACCGGCCGTCCTTCTCCACGTAGCGCTGGCGGCCGCGGCGCCGCGGCGGCTCCTCCGACCCGGGCGAGAAGGCCGCGTTCTCCTGCGCCATGGCGGCCGCGTCAGGGCGAGCGGGGCGGGCGCCTGGAGAGCGGCGCCCGGGGCCCGGGCAGCCGCCACCCGCCGCGCGTCGCGGGGCGCCTCGGCGGCGTCGGGGGTCCTGGAGGGGCTTAATAAAGGTTTGCGGAATGAGCGGCCCCGCGGGAGATGGGGAGGCGCGGGACATCAGGGCCAGCACCCAGCCCTGGGGGGCCCTGGGCGAGTCCCTTCGTGTCTCCTGGCCTCTCTTTCTGGGAATAACACATTCAGCCCTAACTGCCCCCTAGGCTCAGAAAGTTGTGAGGCTCAGACGGAATAATGCACCTGAACTGGATAGGACTGTGCGAGTTCCACACGGTTTTCATTTTCATGTGGAACTCGCTCAGCCCTATCCAGTTCAGGTACATTATTTCATGTAGGAAGGAGGTACCAGAGATCTTGGTGCCATCACCTCCAGCTGGGGTGTGCAGCACCTCACTGGCAGCCCCGGGGCCAAAGACCTGGGCCCAGATCCCTTTAGTGATTTCCTGAAATCACTAGACTGGGGGCTTTTTGGGGAGGGGGACAGGTGGGTAAAGCTCTTCTACTGCGTAAAGCCCTCCCTGCCCTAAGCACTTCCACCAGCCCTTCCCCAGCTGTTGCCCGTGCAGCCACCAACGGCTCTCCGCACAGGCTGTTTTGAAGTTCACCCCAAGACTGACACACAGTCTCTCCCATTCTTTCCTCCTCGGACCTCATTCACTCCACCCCCTCCCCTCAATGCGCTTTCAAGGGAGAAAGAAATGAAAGCTGTGGAAAGTCAGTGGAAACCCTCCAGTGCACAACGGAGGAACATGAGGCAACTCCCACTAGAGATCCTCCCCGAGGCCTACCCACGATCACTGCTGCTCTTGGGCCAGCCCCATTTCCCTTGGATTTTTTTCCCCAGCCTGTAAATGGGGAGGGGAACTGGAAGATACAGATCAACACAGACCTGGGGAAAAGGAAGCCCAGAGTTCATCAAGAGTTAGGCTTCTTTCCCTCCGGGATTCTATTCTTCACTAGACACATGGAATCAGATCAAGTGAAGCACTAAGCACCCACATTTATTTCCCGACTCCCTCTAGTTATTTTTCCTCCAGACTCTTACTCCCCATGGACTATCCTAACACCAGCCCCGCCCCCACCTGCCATATGTCTCAAAGCCCACATTCCAAGCAAAGCCCACCTGATTTTGCTTCACATGCTTCCCTCTGAGGAGCTCTCTGAGCTGCAGTCTGCTCTGAGAGAGGTCCAGAGCCCTTCCCAAAGCACCCAGGGCCCTCTGGGAGATATGGACCACACAGGGAAAGGTCTAGAATAAGGATTTGGGACTCTTCCACCTTCCCTTCTCTTTCCTGGGAATTATCCTCTCCTCCCACTCCATGAAAACGTGGGCTGGCTAGTGGATGGGGGATGGAGGAGTGTGACATAGGAACCACAGATGGCCTGGATGTTTGACCAGGTCCTGGGGAGAAATTGCCTGGATATGTGACTGTAAACCTAGCACTCCAGCATTTTATGTTCTGGGGTGAGGTGCTCTGCAGTCAGCACTCTGGAGACGGGGTGTTTGTGTGTGTGTGTGTGTGTCTGTGTGTGTGTGTGTGTGTATGTGTGTGTGTGTGTGTATTGGGATAGAGAGAGCAGGAAGAGAAATCAAAATGAAATGGCTTTGAGCTTAGGGGTACCCTCTGCATAAACTTTCCATGGAGTCAGGGGATTCAGGGTCCCATGGCAATGGCAGATTAGGGATTCCCCTGCCCCCAACAATGCGCTTCCTTTTTCTTCCCCAAGCTCAGGATGTCCTCAAGAAGTGTAAGCATTGACTAGCTCAGAGATTCCAGGTCATGCAGAAAACGACCCTGCTCTCATTCATCCTAGCCTTAGTCCCAGGTGGGCTTCCAGATGTTCTCTCAGGGTTTTAGTAATCTGAACCCCAGTCAGCCTGCTTAGACAGATCTCTCTGCCCAAGGATGGGGAAGGGACCCCAATGTCTGATCACCCCCAGAACTCTCTCACTCTCCATTGCCCCAGGGATCTAGGTAAACCTTATTTTGGTTTCCTCAGTGGGGGACTGCATTTTTCTCAGGGGAAGGAAAAGTGTGAAATGGTTACCTCTATCCCAAGATCTCCCAAGATCAATGACTTGATTTCTGCATCTTCCCTCCAAGAATTTCAGTTCCTCCAACCTACTCCTCCTCATTTCTTGTGCATGCAATGACCCCTTTGCAGAAGATTGCAGTACCACTTTTCCTGGGCCCCTCCTCCTCCCCCTAGAGAACTGGGGAGTAAGGCGGCTCATTTTTTGGAAGGAGAGACCTGGTCAAAACTCCCCCCAAAACCAGCTCCTCCCAAACCCCCACTTGCCTTGGAAATAGGGGCCCAAACCCCAAGTCCCCCGCAACTCAACTCACAGCACGTGGAGAGGAGAGTGGCCGGCAGCAGAAACCCCTGGGGGGTGGCGTCCATGCCCCTGACACCGCCCCCCCCCACGGGCCCCCTTGAAGGGTGGGAGCCGCAGACACCGCTGTTTCTCCTAAATGTAGCGGCAGCTCTGACTAGGACTTGCTATCTGTGTCATCCCTACTTCCCAGGCTCCCCTGCTCCTCTCTCGTTTCCACGGCAACCAGTCTGGCGACAGCTCCAGAGCATCCCCCCTCCCCTCCCCAGTCCTGGGTACCACTAGGGGTTGATCCAAACCACACGCCATAGCTATTTTTAGCCAAAGTCCCTCCTTCTGGACAACTCAGAGCTTGGCTCCTCATCCCCTCATAGGAAAAAAAAAAAAAAGAAGAAAGAGAAAGCTGGCACAATGGCTCTTTCCTAAGAAGCTCCTTGCTCAGGGGAAAATACAAGCCCTCATGTATTTGAGAATAAAGTGTTAAGTTCCCTGGGGTTTCAGAGGGCCCTCTGGTAGCTGGCAGCTCACCACCTTCAACAGGGGCCTCCGTGTGCAGGTGCTGCCCTCAGGTCAGGCCCGCCATCACGGTCTCTAGTTTTGGATCTAATCAAGGAAGGGAAGCAGGGTCAGGGCCTCTAATTATTGTCACTGATTTGCATTGTGACCCACAGGAGTCACTTCACTTCCCCCAGCCACAGTTATTCCATCTATACCATGTTGTGGACAAGCACAAATATTCCCTTCCTGCCTGCTTTACAGTGTGTGCAGATCAAATGAGGAAAAAAAAATCAAAGGGCTTTGAAATGTATTTTGTTCATAACAAAAACCCTAGAAGCAACCCAAATGTCCACCAGAGAGAAAAGCCTCGGTTAGGGCTTACTAACTATTCACTCAGCAAACTGCTACAGAGCCCAGGTGCCAGGCAGCGTATTAGATGGGGTGGTTACAGAATGAGTAAGTCCCTGCTCACAAGGAGCTCATTAACCCGTGAGGGAGAAACACACATAAACACACAGTGGCTACTGCTACTAGTTCATTGAACATCAGATATGAACGGGACACAGGCCTCACTGCCTCCCCATGGCAGCTCTATAAGGTAGGTATTATTTTTCCCAGTTATAGATGAGGAAACTCAAACTAAGACACGTTAAGTGATTTATCAAATGTCACAGAGTTGGACAGAGATAGGAGTCAAACTCCCACATCTGTATCAGCTCATGCTTTTTTCTTTTTTTTTTTTTTTTTTAAAAGACTTCTTACAGAGTAGTTTTAGATTCAGAGCAAAACTGAGAGGAAAGTTACAGAGATTTTTCGTATGCCCCCTGTGCCCACACATGTAGCCTTTCCCACTGTCGACATCCCCCACCAGAGTGGCACATTGGTGACAAGTGATGAACCTACATGGACATCATAATCACCCAAAGTCCATAGTTGACATGAGGCTTCACTCTTGGTGTTGTACATTCTGTGGGTCTGGACAAATGTGTCATGATGTGTATCCACCATTATAGGATAATACGGAGTAGTCTCATTGTTGTAGAAGTCCTCCATGCTCTGCCTCGTCAATCCCCCTTCCCTAACCCTGGCAACCACTGCACGTTTTCCTGCCTCCATAGATTTCCTTTTCTAGAATGTCACATAGTTGGAATTGTACAATACGTAGCCATTTCAGATTGGCTTCTTTCACTCAGTAATGTACCTTTAAGGTTCCTCCATGTCTTTTCCTGGCTTTGTAGTTCACTTTTTTTTGGCACTGAATAATATTCCACTTCAGGATGGTCATGGTTTATTTATCTATTTACCTACTGAAGGATATCTTGGTTGCTTTCAAGATTCGGCCATGATGAATAAAACTGCTAGAAACATCCATCAGTGGTTTCCATGTGGACGTGTTTTCATCTTTTTTGGGTAGATACCAAGGAGCATGAATCCTGGATCGTATGGTAAAAGTATGCTTAGTTTTTAAAGAAACGGTCACGCTGTCTTCCAAAGTAGCTGTACCATTTTGCATTCCCATCAGCCATGAATTCCTGTTCCTGTTGCTCCACATTCCTGCCAGCATTTGGTGTTATCAGCCTCAGCCTCGTGTTCTTTTCACAAAGTTACACTGCCTCAGTAATGTAATATATGTGGCGTGTTAATATCAGAGGCTACTATAAAGCCAAAATAATTGCTGTGTTTAAATGTGTGAATGTATATATAACACACTGTTACATCAAAAAGCAGAACCTGAAAATATTCTGTAAATTGATCATGATTATGTAGAAGTAGCTTCAGGAACACTGATAAAAATCAGCACAAAATTTGGAGAAATAGAAATATTTTAATGTTCATTTTTTGCCAGGGGAAAAAGAGCAGAGAGTGGTTTACAAATGCAAGGTATTGTTGCTTTTGTTATCAGCATTATTAGATCCCAGATACGGATCTGTTCTTCTCCATATCCTTTAAATTTGGATCAAGAAAATATGAACTAGAGGAGCAGGAAGCCATAGAGATGGACACAGAGGGCTAGAAGCTCCTGAAATGACCTGGAAAGGTGGGAAAGTGGGTACTGGATAATACAAGCTCAGGAGGCAATGACTTGGGTTCAAAGCCCACCTCTCTCCACTACTAGCTGGGTGAACCTGAGCAATTACTTAACCTCGTTAAACCTCAGATTTTCCATCTAAAAAGGAAGAACCGTATTACTCATCTCTTAGGGGGTTGTCATAAAGACTGCATAAGGCATTGCCTGACACATTGTTAGTACTCAGTGAATGCTAGCTACTATCTTCCTCTTTCTCCTCATTGTCTTCTTCATGGTCATCTTCACTGTCACCATCAGCACCATCATCTCAGGGATGTCCTGAAAGCCTGACCCTACCTGTGCCAACTTCCTCTGTCCTGGTACCACCCTGTGAGGCCTGCAGGGGGCACTCCCGGCATACTGCCCTCTCATCAGCTCACTTGCTGGTGTTTCTTGTTGTTCCAAGTGGAAATATCGAGTTTTCAGCCGGAGATTGGCATCAGGAGTACTGTTAAAGCCGCAGTCAACACCCCCGTCTCCTGGGCCTGGTCCTGTCACCCGAGCCTTGGGACTGCTGGCCTGCCCTTCTCTGTCCTGCCAAGCAGCTGCTCACGTTGGTTCTACTGTGCCAGGAGCTCAGAGAGAAGAAACCAAACTCCTGGGCAAGAACACATTTGCATAGAGCTGGCCCCATTTGCTGGAGGGGCATCACTGGCAGGGCCCTCCATGAAGCCATTTCAGACAGCTCCTCGCCTCAGCCAGGTGCCCCTGAACCTAACCTTGCTGACAAGGAAGGAGACCATCACTCCCTCACCTGATATGCCGATCCTGCAGTTCCTAGACTTTACCTGTTATCTACCCTCAGCGCCTTATTTATCACTGAGCTTGAGCTGAGGCAAGAGAAAAAAAGTTTTCCTAGGCACCAGGACACAGAAGTGTAGACAAAATTCTAGCTTTTGGCCTGGCATGGTGGCTTACACCTATAATCCCAGCACTTTGGGAGGCCGAGGCATGCAGATTGCCTAAACCCAGGAGATGGGGACCAGCCTGGGCAACACGGTGAAACCCTGTCTCTACAAAAAATACAAAAATCAGATGGGTGTAGTGGTAAGTGCATGTGGTCCCAGCCACTCTGGAGGTTGAGACAGGAGGATCGCCTGAGCCTGGGAGCTCAAGGCCACAGTGACGCAGTGACCTATGATTGCACCACTGCACTCCAGCCTGGGTGACAGAGATCCTGTCTCAAAAAAAAAAAAAAAAAAAAAGGAACCGTAGTGCAAAATAGAAAAAGAGCTTAGAAAGAGCCTACTGTGGCACGTCACTTGGAGAACAGGGAACAGGTGATACTTTGGGGAGAAAATAAAAGGTTCCCTTCCTCCAGCAGACAGCTCTGAGCCGAGTGCAGGAACTGGCAAGCTGAATGCAGTTCAGTCCTCCTCGACTTGCCCCATCAGCAGGTGCCTTTGTGGCATCCCTGAGATCAGCCAATCTGGGGAGAATTCCCTGAGCAAGATCATGAGACATCTTATGCAAAGGCTTGCAAGTAGAAGAGGAAGCATGATGGGGAAGATACGAGATGGTTGAGGATGTGAGTTTCGTGGAGCAGGGAGGCCGGTCTGGTTGATTGTAAAAATTTGTATAAGTTCAAGTGGGATAGAGCCCTAGAAAATGCATTTCAGAGGAAAGATACGGCTGAAGGAGCAGATGTGGCAAATGACTGTAGCTGAAGATTAGAGTGGAATGGGGAGAAGCAGAGCACAGCTTCAGGCAGATGGAGCCCAGCTGGGTTCCTGAGGCTGAGGAGCTTGCTGCCTTTCTGGCTACTTTCAGCTGAGCAGGAGTATGAGAAACCTTCTCACAGAGTTCTGTCTTGCTATAGGACTGGGTAGAGATAGGCTAAGATTTAAAAGTTATATGACAATTAGAGGTGGTACAGGATTAGCCTTTACTTTACAGATTGGAATAGGTCCTAAGAAAATAGTCACGACTGAGACTCAGGCCACCCGACTCGAGGTTCCGCATGTTTTATTCCCAGTTGCCTTCCTCCTACCTCCTGCCACAGTGCATTGGATGTTAATGGAATTTCTATCAACTGGACCCAATTGAAATTAGTTTTTTCCTTTTTTTTTTTCCTTCTCTCTCTCTCTCCTTCTCTCTGTTTTTTTTTTTTTTTTTTTTTTTTTTT